GGAGACTCTGAACTTTAAAAATGGGGGGAGCAGGCATATATTTAGTAAATGTTGCTAAATAACCCTGGATTTCATGAGAAACCAAGACGTTGTCCTGGTGACCAGAAGCCTTGAAGTCGGTTTCTGAGCCTCAGGGACTCACTCTGTAATTTCTTCTAAACCGAAGGAATATTATTGCCTAAGACCTTCAAAGGCATTCGCAAAGGTGAACAGACCAAAAACAGGTAGGGAGAACAAACAAGGTTTGATTGGACACAAGTTGTGTAATGGCCCATTTGACCCTTTGGTTTTAAATATGGCAAATTGGCCCCATTAACTCTGGCTGAAGATAATTTTCTTCTAATGTTTCCCAGGGACTCTGCAACGCTGTTCTCTGGGTGCCACCGGGAAAGATGTCCCTTAACAAGGAACACGTGGCTTTTTGATTTTCTTTAAAAGCCCCCACCCCGAGATTACCAAAGGCTTTCAGCTTTTCAGACATCATACTTTAGGGATGGCGAGTCTCCCTTATTTCCAGTCTGACAGACAGTGTAAGGGGCTGTGTGAGGAGACAGGCCCCCGTGGGTGAGGGACAGAGCGTTCCATGGGTTCCTAGGCAGAGGAAACACTGCAGGTTGGGCCCTGGGCTCTGGCAGTGTGAGGGCCTCTCAGCCACTCCAGACCGTAGCTTCTCCTCTTCTCTTGGGTAGGAAGCATGCTCCCCCAGGGCTCCACTCCACCCACTTAAATAATACCTCCCTCGCCAGGGAATGAAATCAAACTTCCTCCTTCCCTGGTATTTATTTGGATTTTCACAGCGCTCATTAAAGTGTTTTCCTAAGGCAATCTGCAGGAAAGATCCTATTCCACCCTACCCCCTACCCACCCTATTCCACCCTACCCCCTATTCAACAACAACTCCAATGTGAACTTCTGGAAGCTGGCCTGTTCACCTTCAGGACTTGTCGCTTGAGGATGGCTGTGCAGTGAGAACTTGGGTTACAACATCTGCTTCTAGACAGCAGAATGGGGACTGAAAAACCAGTTCCGCTGTCCCCGCTGCAAACCTTGCACCAGCCCAACTGCTCCCTTCTCTGAATTCGTCCTGCCGTTCCTCCCCACGCCTAGCATAACCCTTGCACAGCAGTGTTTATGTTATATTGCCGACTCATGTACACTGACTTTTCTTCACCTTACTTTGAGTGCCCTCGTTCATTCTGAATAACTTGCCTGGCTTCTGACTTAGCCACTCAGAACCATCTGAGAACTAAACTCATCGATACTGAGAACTCTGTGCCACCATCCTGCCCGAGACTGTCCCCCTTCCCCCTATTTACAGGATAAAGGGTGCATTAAATGTCTCTCATAATTATGTACTTATATATGAATGCCAAGTGCTTCAGGACCATAAAATACTTTATAAATGCCAACTGTGATTATGTCTTTGAAACAATGGGACATATGGTTAGCAAGCGGAAAAAAAGATGAGACACGGCCTGCAGTTATTGCCCAGCCCCTGTTTCTACCCCACCCACCACCAGAAAGGAACTCGAAGGTGAAAACATGAACCTAGAAGGGACAAGGCTCTAACTAAGGTCTATAGAACTTCTCGAACCTACATCAGAGAACTGCCATCATGAGAGAAGGCACCCGAGTCGGAGAAGAGGATTCTAGGCAAGGGTTTCCATGTATAAATAAGATTAACATTCGGCTTGGGGCTGAAATGGAGGCTCAGATGAAAACACTGCTTGTACTTATTTATTGAGGACAGAAAAGCAAGTGAGAAGGGCAGTTAGCAGGAACAGTTCTCAGCTTTGCTCCTGGATGCTTTCTGTTACTGGTCTATGGAGGAAGGTGAAGCTGGATGTGTCTTTTCCTTGTTTCTCCTTCCTCCAGAAGTAGAAAAACTGTGACCAGAAAAATGTAGGCTCAAAAGTGAATAACGATCAGTCAGATCCTCCCTCCCCAACCTCGTTTCTGGAAGAGAGGACAGGAATATAAATTCTCCACCTATTGTGTTATGGTTTCTTAAAAAGATTTCTGAAGCCAGAGATGATTCGCTAATGCAAACATTTCCCATGGCCTCTGCCATTCATTGCCCAGCAGATCAAGGTCAGTGATCAGACTTCATCTCATCATCGTCTGGTCTCAGAGGTCGGGGCAGTGGAGGGCACAGAACGTGCTGGGATTTGCAACGAGGCCTGGCAATGGGGACAGGCACTCTGACAGCCTGACTCCACAGTTCCAGCCCAACAATGAGCTCAAAGGAGGTTGGTGTGACTTGTCTCGATGTGTCTGGAGATATCCACCAGGTAGCAAAACACAACAGGCCCTATGCCTCAGATTGAAAATATCAAATTATCCGGGAGGCAAAGAGAGTTGTGGGTGGGCTGCTGGGACCATGTCACGAGGTCGCCTTGCATGACAGGCCTTCCTGACAGCAGGCGGAAGAGAACCACGGCCTCCTGGTTTGGAATTTTTTCCAAATGGCTACTGTTTGCCCCCCCCCCCAAGAGTTGGGGATGTGGGATCAGTTCCACCTTTGCCCCCACTTTTCAGCTTCAGAGCTGTCAGTCTTCTCAGACTGCTTAATGTTCTGGCGTGAGCAGCTGCTGAGGTGGCCCCATTACTCCCTCCTTGACGTCAGTGAGGGAGTTGTTCCCTGTGGCTGTCTTATGTGAAATAATTCAGCATTTGTACTTCAATTAAAATTCATAGGTATATATTATTAAATGGAACTGACTCATTCCATGGCCGCTCTTCAGCTGAACAAGTGCCAAGGACATGTCACTTATATGATGAAAAGCCAGGAAAATGGAGAGTTCCTTGCAGTTGAAAGGCAGGCTGTGCAGAAAGCACCTCACATCCCAGGGAACACCGTCCCATGTCACTCTCTTCTAAATTTCAGTTAAAGACCATCTCTCTGCCTTTGGGGAACAGGAAAACAAAGATGCCCAGACATCATCTTCATGCCTGTCATGAGCCTTGTGGGGTCCGAGGTGTGTCTGGAATCAAGCTGAATTAGGGCCTTGTGTCCAATGTATCTCAGGGGACAGAAGGAAAATATGTTGTCACACAGTTGTTAGCAGAAAAAGAGAGGGGGCTTTTCTTGATTCTGTAAAATCAAACCTTATTCTCTGATAGCATATTAGATTGGCAGGCCTAGGGAGAGGGGAGAGGGAGCAATGGCTGCTATTGCTTCTCTTCTCTCTGGAAAAACCATGCTGTTCCTTCAGGCTCCATGCTCTGGGTCGAAAGGAACGCTCTATAAGAACGTACTGTGTCCACCGCTCACTTTGTTTATCTTTACCTGCTAATTGGGCATCATATCCCACGCTCAGAAAACCCCTGGATTTTTATCTAACCCATGTGAGGGTTAGAATTTTGACAAAGGAAGGGATGAATGGTCCCTAAGTCCCTTGGTTGCTTAGGCTGCCTCGAGCACGGAGTCCTGTGTAAACTAGAAAAAGGGACCCCTGGTGGACGGATTCAGACCTGCAGCACTATGGATGTGTGAGCAAGCCCCATATTTAAACAAAGAGAGATAGGCACCAGTTTTCTAGGTAGAAGAAGACCTGTGCTTGGATCCCAGCCATCATGTGCGGGCATTCTTGCATCCCCCATTCCAACAACTCTGGCTTTAGTCTAGTCCTGTCTGCTATAATTCAGTCACTACAGGATCGTATCTGAGCCTCAGTTTTTGCCCAAAGAAAAAGAGGGAATTGAACTGCAATTTTTACGGTTTTCTTAAACTCTCAAAAACAACAAAAATTCGAATGGGATTTTCCACTCCTTTGCAAACAGGGCTAAGGAACACATAGTCTCGAACTTCTAAGTTTGGCTGTCTTAAGTCATCTGACGGCACTCCCTAAATATTTGAATGAAATTATGCATGGTTTGATGTGGAGCAGATTAAAAAATGAATGCTTTAGTAGATCCTCGATGTTCCCGGTGGAAAGCAACACGGCCAACCAGCAGAACGGGAACAGCCACTCCCTGCTCTCAACGTGGCAGAAGATGAGATCTCACACAACAGCCGCGTCTACTGAGGCCTGTGCCCCCTTTCTGCGGCCTGCATGGCACACCCCATGCTGAAGCTGCTGCCTCTCCCTGGCCATCAGCGCACCCAGGAAGCAAGAACTGTGAGGAGCCAAGGACTGGTTTCTTTGTTGATGTCTTGTTACCAGAAAACAGAAATGAGATCCTTGCCCAGATCTGCCTATCATGGAGTCTGGGTGTCAGCTCGTGCTTCGCAGTGGAGAGCAAACAAATAATAACCCTCTTCTTCACACCTCACGAACTGTTAACCTAAAGTTGGGTTTAAAGTTTCGCAATGGCATACACCGGTAGTAACCTCATTTGTAATTCTTAGATGTTAGCAGAAATGTTAGCCCGTATCGGTTAGTATTTCTAAAATTCCTCTTCCCACTGGTGTGTGTCTTGAGCAAGGCATAGGGTTTTGGAAACAAGTATGATTAATTATACCATTTTCAGAAAAGGAAACTAGAGCCCATACAGAGGAAGGGAGTGGCTCTAGGTCACTTGGGCGTCTCGTGCTTTTTCTGTTCTTCCATGGCAGAGAGGCAACCAGAATTGCGGTTTGGCGGTGAAAGGCTGACAGCACAGAGTCCTGCACCTGAATTTCTCAGTTTCCGAGAACAAATGTTCTTAGCACTAAGCAGCTCACCGGGGGCAGAAAGCAAACCTCACCTTTACTAGGGCACATTGCACTCGTAGGTGTGGTCTCCCATTGGCTAGACTTGCCTGCCACAGGTTCCCAAAAGCTAGAATAAGACCTACGGCCAAGAAGTGACTTTGCGCAGGGCCTAAGTCTTCCAGGTCCCTGGATTTACACTCTAACTTGCTAGTCAGCTCTGTTCCTTCCAAAGCAAATGGCCTGCTTTCTTGCAGTTCACTGTCTGCTAGCAAAATTGTCATGGCCCATTGCTCCTGGGGTAGTCATTGTCACGAATGGTTACAAACCACCCCTGAAAGAGGAAACGGACGTCTATGAGAAGACAAACGCTGCAACAAGGCTCCTTTTATTAAACACCTCAGACACAACGTGCCTCTGTCAGCTGGCAGCAGCCCTGGGAAAAGGCTGCCCAGCAGAGGCAGACAGGAAGCAGCCTGCGAAAGGGATTCTACTTTTTCACCAGCAGTAGCCCCTCACCAGCAGCTGAGCAATAGCGCCTGATGCAGGGGGATTAAAGCAACACCAGTCCTCAAGGTCCATGAAGGCCCTGGCGAAGGGACCTTGTGTCACTGTCCTTATCCCAGTGGTGGCTTCCTCAAGTCTGAAAGATGCTGCTGCTTGTGATGCTTGGGGCTACACAGACCGTGTCAGGGGCTCCTCAGATTCAAGCCAAGCTTGCTGGGAAAAGTATGTATTCTCAGCCATCAGCACCACGAGAGGCCACAGGGAAAGGTGGCAAGCTGGAGGCCCGAGAGCAATTCACACACTGAGTCTAGACCTGGGGTACACTCTGACTGTGGGGTTGCTGAAAAACAATTTGTTGTGTTGAGATTCTGAATGTGCAACAAATTAATCATGTATGTGTTGTTTGTGTGTGTGTGTTAGAGAGAGAGAGAGAGAGAGAGAGAGAGAGAGAGAGAGAGAGAGAGAGAGAGAGAGAGAGATTGTTTGGGTGGTTTGCGTTTAGTGTGTGTTTGTGTGGCATGTTTAGGAGTTTGTGTGGTATGTGAGTGGCATATTGTGCTTCTGCAGTATCTCTGGGATGCATGTTTACGCGTGTGACTGTGTGGTGTGCAGAGTGTGTGTAAGATGTGTGTTTGGGGATGTGCCCGGGCTCTGAATGATGAACTGAAGAAAACCAAGGGCACGAGGAGGGCAAAGCGAGCAGAGACAGGGACAGAAGGGGGAATCTAGCGACTCCTAGTATCCTGTTAATTTATACCATGGCTCTGTACAAAAATAAAAAGGTTCTTATAAGATTAACAATTTAAATAAATATTTGATAGAACACTCTCTTTTCTATAGCTCATCTCTGGGGTTAATATTCAGTCCATGCTTCCCGCGCTGTTCTTGATCCAAGATGGCAATCACTTCATCGGCCTGTATCCGCTCCTGCAAAAAGACAAGTGACACATTTGTGGTATAGGCGTAATATCAGGCCCGGCAGCAGATGCTTCCCCAACACTTGCAGCCAGCCATCTGTGCACAGTCAGGGAGAAGCCTGCTGCATCCAAACTGGCACAGTCTCCATACATCCCCATGTCCTAAGCAGTTACCTTCTGAGATGTCTCCCGAGGAAGCCTCATCAGATTACCAACTTTCCACCCTCTCTGTCTCACAGTCCCACTGCTCTCTCCTGCTCAACTCAGTGTTTAGACTCAGCTCACCATTTACTCCCCCATCAGACCTGTCACGCTCTTCTACAAGACTCTATTTCTCAGAAAGAAAATGAGTGTGGCTCACCCTTTGCCTACAACACCTGGCTCTGGTCTCCCGTACTTGATACATCTCTTGGCCCTGGCTGTTCTGTATGCCGTTTCTGTCCCTAGGTCAGCATGGGGCATGGCCATTGGCTTGTTTTAGGCCAGAGTTTCTCAGTCATAGCATTACTAACATTTTAGGATGTGTGTGAGTGTGTGCGCGCGTGTACGTGTGTGTGCATACATGTATGTGCGTGCATGTGTGCGTGCATGTGTGTCCGTGTCCGTGTCCGTGTGTGTGTGTGTGTGTGTGTGTGTGTGTGTGTGTGTGTGTAGAGGATCTTCCTGTGAAATATAGATGCTACCTTCCCTGGTATACAAGACGTCCCCATATTGTGAGAACTAAAAATGTGTATAGGCAAAATGTCCCCTAAACAGACAAGTGCTACATCCTTAGACTACCTCATTCAGGTCCTTCTCATGAAGTGCTCTGGAAGGTTCCAAACAGGTTTGCCTCCTCACTCAGGCACCTAGTGGACATGTTCCCCCAAGTCCGACAGCAACACTGTCCTATGTGGGGCTCATAACTCCAGTTGGTTGCAGGTTCTGTTTTCTTGGGGGACGGGTGTCAGGTTTTGAAAAATCCACACTTTTCCATCTCCTGTGTCCTGCCTCCCTGCTCTCCTTAACCTGCAACTCTGTATTACTTCACAGTCTCCTCTGGCTGTTCACTCTAAAAATAGTCTCCCAGCACTAATCTGGGCAAAATGCTCCCCTGAATGCTCCCTGCATCCCCTGCATTTCCTTTTCCCCACACCAGTGCAGGATTGGGCCAGTGTGTCTTCCCCCAGACTTCACAGGCAACCTTCCATATGATTTACCTGCATTATTCCTCTAATTTAAGTCCACATGTTGGCTGAAGCCATCTTTTCTTTCTGGTCACTCCCTAGTCTAGCTTATGCGGTGTGGAGAGTAAGGGAGCGGGCACAAAGACTTCTTAGCAGCTTGAATAAAATCCACCGTGCCTTGATATGAAATCAAGAATGTGGGCCCTGCCTCCTTTTTATCCTTGCATTAATCTAACTCTCTTATCTTTTCTAAAACCTCCCGTTCTAGCTGCTGTGACCTTCTTTTTGTGGGCTGTGTTTTTTGTTTGCTTTTTGGGTGCTAGGAGTTGGACCCAGGAGCTCACACATGCAAGGTGTGCGCTCTGAGATGGAGCTCCCTTCCCCCACCCAGCACATTTTTGTTTCTTGGCTACCCTTCTTCAAACGTCTTCCTATCGCTGGTCTTCTGCAAGTTGTCCTTTGCCTGGAAGACTTCTCCCCTTGGGTTCCTTCTCATTGGTTCTTCCTGTCAGCCGGGTGGCAGGTTACATGTCACGTCTGGAGAGCCTCCCAGCTGGTCTACCATCTACTGTGAGCTCAGTTATTTTATCCTATTTTCTACATATCATTTATTGCTGTTGAAAAAAAATCTTCTGGTCATTTGCTTGTTCTTTTCTTATTGGTTGTCTCTTTTCTTCTTTTATAATGTAGGTCCAGCAGAGTGGAGATTCTCAATTTCTTGATCATTGATGTATTTCCAGTGCTTGTAAAAGCTACTACCTTTTGTCAAGGGCTCTATTATCTTTAAGAAGAATCATTTATGTGGATGAAGGCCTAAGTGCATCTCCTAGAGGAGCCCATCTTATAAAGCTTATTTCCAGCACTGCCCCCAAAATTAACCCTTTCCTAACCGACTCTTTAGGTCCTCAAGTCGTCATTTGCAGCAGACAATCCTTCCGCAACTTGCCTGGTGTTTTCATAATTGGATTCCCGGTTATCATTTCTCTGGTTTGACTTAATGTTTCATGAAAGTAGGGGCTGTGCCCCATCCAATTTTTATTCCCCAGTGGCAGTCACTAGTCCAGTGTCTAGCACACTAAATTATAAGAATAACTATATTCTGACTTGAAAACAAAGTTCTTCTCATGCAGGAGCTCAGAGTTAATCATGATGTCACACATAGACAACTAAAAGAAGCAGACACACAAAATGATGGAAAACTACATAGTGATATCAGAAAGCGCAGCGCCTTTCTGACACACACACAGTTTTCATATTTGACGGCCACAAGAGAAGATCAGCATATGCGCCTCTTAAAGAGAAAGGGACCCAAGTGTTGCGACAGATATCTGGAAGGCATCCTAACATTTTATGTGTGTATATGACTGAATTCTTCTGGATGATCAGGAGTATTATTTATTTATTTACTTATTATCTGGTTTTTCAAGACAGGATTTCTCTGTGTAGCCCTGACTTTTGTGGAACTCACTCTGTAGACCAGGCTGGCCTCAAACTCAGAGATCTGCCTACCTCCGTCTTATGAGTACTGGGATTAAAGGTGTGGGCCACTACCACCCATTCAGTAATATGTATGTACGGATGGATGGATGTATATAGACACATATACATACAGACACACATAAACATACATATATACATGAACAAAGAAAGTCTATCTATGTACATATACACATACATACATGCATGAATGCATGCGTACATACATGCACACATACATACACACATATGAATTCATAACTCACTGTTCTTAGACATGCTTTGTTCAGGATCCAATCTAAGTCGAGGTTTAAGTCAAAGATTCACAAACTTTGCTACATATTGGAACTGTCTGGAGAGTTTTAAACCCCTGGCACTGAGACAGCTCCCTACATAATTAGATTTGTAGGTAGGAATCAGGCATTAGCGTTCTTGCAGACCCTCAGATGATGCAGAGGAAAACATTTTCGATTAGTAACTAAGAGGCTCTTGTCGTTTCCTACAAAGACCACTAGATGGCGCAACAGCCTGCAGGGTGGAGAAGTTTCCTAGTACTTTTCCAAGAGGCCTGCACGCTGGTGGTGAAGTATCCTGCGCAGGAAGGGGCAGAGAACTTGGTTTGCATTCATTGTTTTAATAAAATGCTACAATGCATTGTAATGGCATGATGGAAATAAAATGATACCAAATTAATACTAAAAACAGGCAGCTGATCTTCCTACAGTTTGTTACAATAGGGGGAGTGGTGCGGGCATTTTGTAAATTAAAAATTCAAGGAAAGAGAAACTACGGATGAAGGAAGCTATTGAACACCCCTGGAAGTTTTCTGGGCTCTGCTGGGTTCTCTCCACCAGTGCCATCCTTGCCTTCCTATGCCAGGCTGTCAGGGTCTCTGTCAGGGTCTGACACAAGCTGTCCTTACTGTTGCCCTTCAGACACGACTGCCGCTTTCTCCTTCCCTAGCTGCTGGACCTCCCTGCTCCTTGGAGTCCGGCTTCTCCTGTTCACCTCTGCACCCGAAAGCCCTACCTAGGCAGCAAAGAAAGGACTTCAAGAGTGTGGGGGGAAAAGAAAATGCTCTTTCTGATCATGGAAAGGGGCCGTTTCTAAACTGCTGCTGCTGACAATGCATTGGATTCGGTTTACAAGTTTAAAGGGAGAAACCCAGCATCATTTGAAGACTAGAGTTTCAGGGACTGGGAGCTGACCCTGGTTAAGATGCTCAGAGGTCTTGCACAGGACGGGTGTTTAGTTCTCAATTGCCATGTCTGCTGGCTCTCCCTTACACCAGGCACGTAACATGTCCCCATTAGAATTCCACCAGCACGCACACATGCACATAATCACACATACACGCATAATCCAAAACTAAGTACATCTTGAACTGGGCTTAGTGCACGCCTTTAAGTCCAGCCCTTGAAAGGTATAGGAAGGAGGATCTTGTGAGGTCAAAGTCAACCTGGTCTACTTAGTGAATTCCAGACCGGCCAGTTCTATCTACATTGAGAGATCCTGTCTCCACAACAGCAAAGGGAAAATCTTTAAGAAGGAAATTAGAATTTCATCTCTTCTTCCACACTCAGGGCTGGAGTAGACTTTGAAGGTATCTGTAGACTTCTGTTGGTGGCTTCAGGTCCACCTTTAGTGACCACTGTGATCAGTCTCTTGACCTTGGGTGGACCTCTGATCGCTGTCAGCAAACTGACAATCCCACCGAATCAGGGTGAGGACTTGGAGGTGACTCCCTAAAGCGAGCTTGGCTGTTTTCTCCCAGGAGATTCTACTCTGTCTACTGTGCTGAACTTCAGGCCTCTCGACAGATGGAAAGAGCCATATTACATTGTGGATCAATATAATATCTTTTTAACATTCAAATTAATAGTGTAATAAGTAATTATCCATGTCTCCTTCCACACACATGCTTAATAAACTAGTCAGTGATGTTCTGATGATTTTCTGGCCTTTCTAGTGACCGGGAGAAAGTCCGTGGCTGCCAACAGTACAGGGTATCAGTGGGCTCAATACTCAACTTCTGTCTGTACAGCCAGGGAGCACTAATGGATCTGTTTCTGCAAATGTCTTCACAGTTAGAACAGGGTAAGAGCTGCCTTCAGTGCCACTTCTTCTCCCCAGATGTCGCTGCAGAAGTCACTGCAGGCCCAACCCCCCCTTCTACTCCCAGATGTCGCTGCAGAAGTCACTGCAGACTCAATCCCTCTCCTTCTCCCAGATGTCACTGCAGAAGTCACTGCAGGCCCAACCCCCCCTCCTACTCCCAGATCTCACGGCAGAAGTCACCCCAGACTCAACCCTTCTCCTTCTCCCAGATCTTACCCCAGGCTCACCCCCCCCAACTAGTCCCAGATGTCACTGCAGAAGTCACCCTAGGCTCAACCCCTCTCCTTCTCTCAGATCTCACCCCAGGCTCGGTCCCTCTCCTTCTCCCAGATGTCGCTGCACAAGTCATTGCAGGCTCAACCCCTCTCCTCACAGACGTCACTGCAAAAGTCTCTGCAGGCTACCCTTCTCCTTCTCCCCAGATGTCACTGCAGAAGTCACCCCAGGCTCAACTCTTTTCCTCCCCAAATGTAACTGCAGAAATTACTACAGGTTTAGGAACAAAGTAAGGACTTCTCAGAGAGATCGGTACAGGGAGCAGGGCTCACTTTGCGGTGGCAGCAAACTCACCAATTCTCTGTAAAGAGGGTCTAGGGTGAACCACAGTGCCACAGCACAGCGCTGGCCTTTGGTGACCGCCTTCACCCCATGAGGGTTCTCTCCGCCAGATGAGAAGCTGATCATTCGCCCACACTTTGGTTTAATAGAGGCCTGACAACAAAATAAAAATTACTTTCAATTCCTATCCCATGTGTCCATTTATCATTCCTTCTGTGCGATTACTTATTTGGATTAAATTTTAAAGCAAAGAGCTGGGATGGAATCTCAGTGTTAAAAAAAACAAAGACTGCCTTGATTAATTTTTTACTTGTAGAATATAGTTTCAAAGTAATGTACCTTACGTAATAGACCACTTAAGCAACATGCGTGGCACATCCCATGGACATGGGCGTCACCTGGCATGTGCTCTGGTGATAACACGCCCACTCAAACACACAAGCCTTGCACTTTAATGCACCGCTGTAGCTTTTGGCACTAGCAATTCACTGGCGCTTAAGGTGGGTGTGCATTTTAATATTTGTGAACTTAGAATATTATATAGGGGGTACCAGAGAAATTTTACTACTGGCCTACGCCGCAGATACATGGCTGGAAACCTTTCTAATTCTCCACTGTGCACCTATGGTTTACGTAGTTGCCACAACATAGGATCTGAATTCATTCCCTTTACATTCATGGCTAGAGGTCATACAGGTGTCACTCGGCTACGCCCAGCGAGGAGAACACACCAGCTCCTGGGCTGACCTATGCACGGCTCCCGAGACTGGAAATCACTGATACAACAATTCAAAGCTTGCACACTGCTAAGTTTCCAATGACTTTTTGGCAGGACATGATGGCGAAGGAGCACATTCCCGAGGGCACTGGGCTGCACTGCAAAAATCAACAGGAGGCTCTTCAGGCTGAGCAAGCATAGGCAACTGAGCGTTAGAGGCCATGGTCCTCTGTATTGCGGAGTCTGTGGCAGGAGGAGAAACCACTTTGTAGCCTTCAGGAAATAAGGAAAGCTCATTCACCCCATTGAGCTTGGACAAGTGCAGCCAGTGTACAGTGACATCCCCGACCATTGGGTGTGTGTGTGTGTGTGTGTGTGTGTGTGTGTGTAAGATGACTGTATTGTACAGCTAGGAGGCTCTTTCTTTCTAACCTTTCCAGGAACGTGTTTGAAATTTTTCTAAAGTCCTTGGATGCTACATAGTTTTACTCTGGTCCTGTGACTGTGTGTAGGAAGCCAGAAGTAGGCAGAAATGTGTGTGTGTGTGTGTGTGTGTGTGGTAAGAGGGGCTCATGCACATGTGTGCAGGTGTCCCTGGAGGCAAGAAAAGGGCATGGATTCCTGAAGTTGGTGTTAGAGTTAGTTGTAAGCCACCTGGCGTGGCGCTGGGAACCAAACTTCGTGTTCTTCAGTGTCCAGTGTGGAAAGGAAAAAGGAAACCTGCTACTTCCCAAGACTGGAATAAGTTTGTTACAGAAAAGGAGGGAAGTAGGAATTCCTCATTTTTAATCATTCCTACTTGATCATTTTAATTTTCTACAAAAGCCCTAAAACTGCTACAAACAGGAAGTGCTATTGAGCTTTTCCATTAAAAGCTTAGCAGTTTTTTTATCCACTTTTTGGTGGGAAGTAGGTTCTGGACTTTGTGCGATGCCTCAGTTACAAGACCTTTAGAACTATGAAATAAGAATGTCCTCTGCTTTCACACATAGAGGGAGCAGGGTTCACTCATACTCAGTGAAGAACCGGCTGAGCTACAGTAGGCTGGCCTCTATACCATTAATCATTGGGCACTTCCAAATACGGCCACTAGATGGAGTAGAGGCAAAGAAATCGTCAAAATTAAGATGAGAACTTTTTTTCTTCTTCAGTTTCCATGTTTTCAAAGCGTGGAAATAAAATGCTTTCTGCACGCGGCTTGTCCTTTAGAGGGATTCAACTCTAGTCCAGAGCATCAGTCTTGGTTTCTTTTTCTCAACCTAGGAAACCTCAAAGCACTTACTGATATCTTTTTCTTTTCCAATAAAAAATGAGGCAACACGTCTGTTTAAACATTGTACTCAATTTCATGAAATATTTTGTTATAACCATGCTTCTATGTTCTATCCCCACAGTCCTCATAATAATCCCTTTAAGTCAACGATACACAGATTGGGACATAGATGTTCATATGTATACATATATACATGTATATGTTTCACTATTGGGAAAAATGTGCAAGCTGAGACTGAGTGCACAAAATACGGGAAGAGTTTTGCAAATTGCTTATTTAATGCTAACACTTTGAAGTTCCTCATACACATGTCCCAGCTACTTAGATTTTTCAGCAAGGTAGATACCCCATAATCAATTTATAATTCTTAAGTTCTTCATTTGAGATTTGGTGGGTGTTCTTATATAGTGTATTTGATCGTCGGCTTAAAGATCAAAAGATTCTAACTAGATTGTCTGTAAGTGCTAAGGAGTTAGCTTCTGAAGGCATTGGCTTTTTTATGAATAAAATGGTTGGTATGACTTTTGATCTAAATATTTGTGAGTATACATATCCATTTGGAGGCGAAAGTTCATGGGTTATACTTAATTGTAGAAACACACATTTGGAAGTTCACGCTCAACCTAAGCATACTGGCTGTTTGAAGCCATTGATTCATCCTAGATCTGAGGGCCTTAGGGACGCTGTTTGAAGGTTCCTATCATACTGTTTCAAAGAGGCCCAGAACCTAAGCAAGTGGTTCTCAACCTGTGGGGTGCAACCCGTTTGGGGGTCACAGATCAGATACTGCATTATGATTCATAACAGTAGCAAAATTATAGCTATGAAGTAGCAAGGAAATTGCTTTACGGAGGGAGGGTAACCAGAACGTGAGGAGCTGAACAGGAAGATCACAGTATTAGGAAGGTTGAGAACCATTGCTCTTGGCTTTGATGCCAAGTCTAACATTTATATCAATCAAATCCTTAAAAATTCCTCTTTCTCAATTTGCTCATCTTTAAAATGGACTAAAACAGTCACGTATGCTTAATACTTTTATGATCTATAGATCACCGCGATCCACTTGTATCTCTTGCACTTTGTGCTCAGAAACAGTAGAAATTCAACAACCAGCACGATGCGGGGAAGGCGGTAACACTGAAGTAAAAATCCCCAGTCCCTTTTTAGGAGAGGCTTTCCTTACAGTCACAGTTTTGGCGTCCATTTCAGTGAAGATGAATTCTCCGCCTTCAAAGTCGTCGTTCATATACAGGAGTGCGCTGTAAGGAAAGGGGACACATTGTTCCAGTGACAACACAGTCCTCGCCAGCATTGCTGTAAGACACTGAAGACTAGTGACGACTGGACCAGCCTGAGTGGTAAATTGTCTTTGACACTGGCCCTCCATACCCTTGAAGTTCAGCCCAGGGATAGCCTGAGTTATATTCCTGACGCTTATTGGTTCCACTAACATATGGTTCTCGTCTCATGTCAAAGTCACTTCACACTGTAAACTCCTAATTAGGCTTTGATCATCAGCCCTCGCAGCTCGCCCATGCGGTCTGTAATGCTCTTCCTCCAGCACAGAAAAGTTACCCCACAGGATGGACTTTTCTTTCTCTAGCTTAGTTAATGAATTCCTCGTGACCAAGCCTGGCCATGCAGATAAGGACTGCTCTCGAAACGTTTTGAATAAATCACAATATGGCAACAACAGACATGTTGTTATTAAATACACACAGAGGCTACATATGAAGATATGATGTTGCATCCTGGGATAGCTTCTCTTAATGTGCTAACATGTCTCCTCACAGTATCCAACAATATTCCCTTTGGCGTTTCTACTTCCTTATGGAAACAAAGCAGACACAGTTCTTGGAGGGTGTGAATAATACTCATGTATGTGATAAAGTGCTTCGTGTGTTGGGAGACCACACCCTCATGCTGGAAGAGTGGGAAAAACAGGCAAAATGATAGACTTTAGAGAAACACACTGATTTATAAAGCGAGTTGTCTACTTCAAAGGAGGCAATCTATGTATAATACTTAAGAAAAGAATGGGAAGGGTCGTTCTTCATCATGGCTGCTGAACTAGGTGACTGCTGGGAATCTCTACTCCACAGAGACGAACAAGGTAGCAAGCTCAGCAAAGCAGCTTCCAGCTTTCCACAAAAGCTCCACTGGGATCAGCAGCCCTACCTATAATCCCGGAAAGTGTAAGCAGGAGGCTCCTTCCAGCATTCATTAGCTTCTGGATCCAGCAGGCAGTTGTCGGCGTGAATAGGGTGACTGAGGTCATTTCGTCTATCCTGCTGCCCTGCCGGAAGAAGGGACAAGAATGAGAGCAGGAAGAAGAAGGAGGAGAAGTGCCCCAATGTGCAGTAACTAAAAGCACACTTTGTCAGCCTTCTTCAGCCCCGTGTGAAGGGGGAGAGAGAGAAGGCAGCGTGGTTATAGAAAGAGACCACCAGGCGAGAGACCCCTGTGGCTGACCATCAACTGGACATGAAGCTTCGGTCAAGCCACACCTGTCTTTTTGGGTATGAAAGACAGAATGCATGGGCCTGGGTAAATCCCGGGCATTTTGTAGGTTGAGTTTCATGTGGGGTAGCGAAAGTCCATGGAGGAAATGGAGAAGGAAGCCGAAGGCTGTGACTCACTCTCCACAAGTGCGAAGTGCTCTGACCTAGATCTCCTTCCACCCCCAGCAGGGTGAATGGAAGAGAAAACCTGCCCCTCAGAACACTTTCCAGTGACACCCTTGCTGTCTGCACCTCCACCCTGTGCTTGAGGACATAATGGCAGTTTCCAGCCTCCTGGGTGCCTCAAACACAGAGCAGAGAAGTATTATTTCCCTGCGTGTCTTAGCAATGATGAAAAATGGATTAACAGAAACTGTACAGAATAGGGATCTCCCAGAACTTTAGGAGCCAAAAAGTAGAAAAAGAAAGAAGAACTTTCTGTTGGTTTAGAAATCTGGTGTTCTCATAAGTTCTCACTCCAGAGCATCGCAGCAATAGAGCTTTGCTGGATTGTTCTCTTTCCTGTGGCATTCTGGGAAGAAGGGGACAAGCTCAGGTTCTGGAAACCTACCAGACAGGGCTGTTCTGCAGACCATGTGTGTATAGGAAAAATACAGGGTTGAGTTCAGCATGAAATAGGATTCCACAATCTTCCGGGCCTTCTCACTGATGTCATAGAAGAGGCGAGCGCTCTTCAGGGGCACCCGGCCTTCATAACCGAACTGAAAACAAAAAAAACCAAAACGCCAAGGACATTAGAGACTGTGGGGTTAACTGGAGGGCTAGAGACAAACAGGCTCTTGGTTTCATGACAAGAATGCTGACCGGCCATCTCTGCTCTAACTAAAGGGAATGATAAATAGCATGCGCTTGCGTGTTCAAGTAGAACGGTGAGCCATGCAACAGCTCCTGTGAATGGCAGAGGGAAGGAAAAAGCTCCCTGTCCCCTTACCCCTCCTCTCAGAACATATCCTTCATTCCCCTCTAAGAATACTTCTTGAGATGAAAAGCATGACTGATTTAGGGCTCTTTCCATCATTAGCTCATGAGGTCAGTGCTTGCATAGCTTTTGGCGAGATACAAACTTAGGAAACACGAGACTTGGTAAATGGACGCCGGAATGGAGGGAATCATTAAAAACAGCGAAGTGGCTGGGGGTGTCGTGCAGAAACCCAGTGTGTGCTGCCAATGGCCCTCAGCACCCGGAACACAGGACAAAACCAACTGAGTCCATCCACAGCGGCTCCTTCTAAACTCTCTCTCCCCACTCTGCCCTTCACAAGCCCCGCCCCAGCCCTGCCTCCTGCTCCACCATCCCAAGGAACCCAAAGTTAAGGAAGCAAAAGGTTTACTTTGAGCGCTTTCAAGACAGTCGCTCCTTCGAACTTTTCATTGGGTGTATGCGGTGACGTTTTTCCTCGGTATCCATCACCAACCAACATGATTCCCTGGGGACAAAAGGCATTCAAATGCTCTGTCAATGACAAGGAACAATTCACTCAGCACCGCGTAATCCCAGGGTACAGGGATAACTGATTCTAATAGGGGTATTTTTCTTTATCTTTCTTATATAATACCACTTTTAAAAAATACATTTAATACAAACTACTCATTTATTGGCTAATTGCTGGATAAAATAGAGGGATTTCTCCAGCAACTTCTGTAGTAGGCAGAACACACGCTGGATGGCTACCGTCTTAAGAACTAAGCCATTGGGAGTTTTCAGATTATTCCAGCCTAAAAGTTATAAAAGCACCTCCCATGTCTTCTGCCTGCCACAGTTACAGTCTTCTGCCTAAGTAAGTGAAATTCTAATGCCCTAACACTGTCCTCCTCCAGGACATTGCCCTCAAGGCTGAGGACAGACTGCAAAGGGGCTTTTCTCCTCCATTCCACTGACTCCAGGCTCAAGCTGGGCTAGCGCTGAGGGTTCCCCCTTTCCAGTCCTCACACTGGCCACGCTGTGCAGCTCCCGACACTGCTCTTCCGACAGGACGTTATCTAGGAGAACCCTCTGAGTCCCGTTGAGCTGTTCTGAGTTGTACACGAAGGTGATGTTCTCATAGAGCAGAGGGCCACCTGCGGGGACAAAGCAGAGTGTCCTCTGTACTGCTTCCACCCTCTAAGATGCTGCTCAGGAAAACCAACAGTCTGCAATAGATAGCCCAGGAGAGGCGGAAACACAGGAACACGGGAGTACAAGAACAATCACATATTAAAAAGATGCATGTATGTTAGGTCTCAAACCTGGGAACAAACTGCTAGCAGAGATACCCATTAACAAATCAAAGTGGACCCTGTCTGCCAGTCTCTCAGCTTTCCGGGTACCTGACATACTGTGCTCTACCCTGAACTCTCCCAGCAAGAGACATAAATTTTGTACATTTATGTGTCATATAACCTGATGGCCAAAATTATAAAACAGGGGAGCAGGAATGTAACAGAAACTGCAGCCAAGTCAAGAACACTAATGAAGAAGGTAGATATTATTTTGCTTAGAATAAAACACCAGATTCTATATGAACATTCTCCTGAAAGACGGGGACAGGGTGCTTCAGGGTTAGCATTCCTTGTAGTAGCTTGTTATCCACTGCTGTGTTTTTTTAATCACAAATATAAATTAAAACTACTATGAAGTCTTAGTGAATGTGTTTAATTTTAGTTTTAATCTGCCCTTGCTTCATTATTCATAAGCCTTCAATCTGATTGATTGCTAATGTTAACTCATTCAATCAAGCAGTCAGCGTGACTTTACCTGATGCCCCATCGAGAGACACAACTCCAGCAGGATTCAGCTACAGATGTCCTAGTCACCGCCTCCTATAATTCTAAAATTATCAGCAAAACTGATAAATGTAGAATTCGTGGATTCTAAGACAATACATTTAACTTAATTTTTGGATAAGTAGAAAAATTAAGTTTTCCTTTCACAGTTTGATGTTCCTTAAATTTTCTTGTACTGAAGTTTTAGAAAAATATGGAATTGGATAGAATCTAAGTACCACTTGAAACTTGAAATGTCCGAGTAGGCTTCATGAGTTTCCCAGGCAGTTAAATGCTACACAGTAGTTTTCAGACTTGGGCCACCACAATGCCTCCCCTCGACAGCCCTGTTCTCCTCTTCCATCGTGTCCTCTCGCCTCTTTTCCCTTCCTCTGGCCCGCTCTAAGACAATCCTCGTCACCTTCGTGATCCCTACCCTTGTGCAATCTGCCTGCTGTGTGAGCATGGCTGGGTAACTGTTTCTGATTCACAGACTACAACAAAGGAGATGGGAGGTCAGGCCTGTGATTATCTTACAGGAGGCTGTGACTTCTCCCAGGCTCACCTGCTCAGTTCATTGTCTTCCCAGCCGTGTGCCTTGATTAGGCAAGCAGTCCTATTAGTACTGATGGGGCAAGAAACAGAGGGCATCCTCTGGCCGAGAACCAGCCAGGACTGCACAGCCACGGCCCATCAGTTCTCTAGGAAATGAGTTCCGCCATCTGAACCGGAAGTATTTCCCAGTTTTACTGGCTAGTTTATTCCACCTTGGTATAAAGTAGCAGTCATGTTGGGAAAGAGAACCTCAGTCGAGAAAAGGTTCCCACCAGATTGGCCTGTACACAAACCCGGGTGCATTTTTCTTGAGTGATGATTGGTAGGGGACACTCCAGCTCACTGAGTGCGATGCTACCCCCAGGGCTGGTGGTCTTGGTTGCTCTGAGAGGAGTCAGAGTGAGCCATATGAGCCAGCCAATAGGTAGCACTCTTCCACGACTTCTGCTTCAGTTTCTGCTCCAGGCTCCTGCCCTGCTATAGGAGGCATGGGGGATTTGTGCCCCCAGATAAGCACTAGGGAACCTGGAATGTCACACACACAGGCCTGTTCCTTCAAAGGAGCAAATGTACAAGCAGTCCTCTGTCCAGAAGGCTGAGACAGGCATGGCTAAAGAACTGGTGGTGAAAGGAGATGCCAGAACCTCTCTCAGGACCACATCATCAGCTTGTTTTTTCTCAGTCAGTCTATAGAATCTCTCTTTATGGATGGTCGCATGTAGTCAACTTATAGAACCAGTCTTTATGGAAGGTGCTACAGGTACTTTACGAAGAGTTTCCGTGTACTCACGTCTGATCTTGGTCTCTCTTACTCTGTTAAACTTTATTGTGCATATGGGACTGAGTGAGTTATGGCCAGGAAAGTTTTCACCAAATCGTGCTGTGCTTAAACATACCTAAAATAAACTACTTGGGGGGTTGGAAGTAACCCTCAAAATTTGAATGAACACCCTGCTCTTAGTTGTGTTGAATTGAACTGCCTTCTAGCCTCCTGCGGACCACACTACCCTACTGGCCATGGTGGTTGCAGAGATCCCCACGCCCTGACTGAGCACCACCTCCCCATGCTGGAATGTGATGTGGAACTACAAGCTGAAATAATAAACCCGTTTCTTCACACGTTGCCTTTAGTCTTGGTGCTTTTTCACAGCAACGGGACCCTAACTAAGACACCAGTCAAGGCCCCGTTGAGATGTTGGGATAAGCCTTGGGGAAGATCATGGATGTCTCTGGGTTCTGAATCTCAGAAAAGATAAGATAAAATACATGTCTGTTGTCGTAAGCAGATGAAACTAGATCAAGCAAAAATAATGACAGCCCCCTCACAGGTCTTCGTCATATAGTTTGGGAACGGTGTCCCAATCTCTGTAGGCAATCAGAATTCCTAGTCAAATTGAGGCGCATCCCTTCAAACTCAAAAAGTTGTGTAGCTACTCCAACGTAGAAATGAAAAACTACTCCTTGAAGCAAAAAAGACAACTGCAGATTCACAGAAAACCACTTGTAAATCTGAAATTCAAATATAAATAGAACACAGAGTTTAGTGAACTAGATTGGTTTGTAATTTTTCAAGTGTTCAGTATTCTTTGGCTTGAAGCAATTTACTTAATTATAATAAGATTATTCTTAAAATATGTAGTTTAACATTGCTATGCTGAAGCACTAAGGAAAAAAATTTCTATTGCCCAAGCTCAGCATGGGTGTTTGTTGCTGTTATCATTACTATTGAATTGTACAGCTGTACTAGAATACTAAATGCGATTCTGGTGTCAATATTAGTAAGCTTGCTTTAATGGAGTATATTTAGAAGAGGGTGTTGAGATAGTGGCAGAACCCTGAGCCATGCAACAAATAACATTCAAACATTCACATAAAGGCTGGGCACCACATATTCCTAAATATGTAGAATGAAGGAGATTGGGAGAATTGGTATTTCATATATGCTTTTCAGGAGCTATTAAAATTACCACAGAATGTATAGAGTTTTAAGCAGATATTTATTACACTTAAAAAGCAAACCAAAGAAAGAAGGGGGCGGGGAAGAAAGCTTGCCATCCGTGCGGATGCAACCAAACCAAAGATGACTTACAGTAGCACACCAGACAGGGGAAAATGTGAAAATTAAAATCAGAATGTAGTCCAATAGGTTGTGGTTCCTGGGGCCTGGTCTGATGGTTGCAGCCAACTTTAACCACTGTGCAGTGCGCAGGGAGATTGGGTTAAACAACCTAATTCTTCTCTCATTCATAAAGTATGTGCCTGGCTCTCACTCCCTGGTGGCAACAAAGATCATCTAGGCAAGGGTTTCTTTGTGCACACTGCTTGAGGCTCATGGCAAGAGCAATGGTATTTTCATAAATACCACATCTCACTAGGCATGGGGCGGGGTGCGAGCTAATAAGCCCCGACATGAGCACAAGCCTTTAGGGTTTTCAAAGGACAGCACATGCATCATTTCCTGCCTAGTTACCACCTTCCTCACAGATAATGACTGCAAGGCACAGAGGGGCCAAGGAGAGACATGCCATAGTGTGCGTCCTGTCATAACACATCCTGAAATCAAGCCTTCAGACTCCAAGTTCAACATTATTTTGGCCTTGTCCCAAGTGACCCTGGACTCATTAGTCAGCATGGTCTTTAGAAAACAGGGGCTAAAAGAACGAGTAACTGACAGAGGTGTTTTCTGTGAGACAGCGCGAGTGCGCCCTAGGCTGGAGTTAGTTTGGGTGGTGGCCCCCAGTGACCGTGCTGTGGGAGTATTATTAAACACTAACCCAAGGAGATGACAGACCCTTTGCAAACAAGAAGAAAAATGACAGAGACTGTACTTTATGGCACATGCCTTCTGGAGCCTTGCCCCCTTGCCATCTGCTTTCTGCCAAGCCATGGGAATGTTCTGGGCCTGGTAATTTTATAGCTTACCACTATTCTCAAGTGTCTGAGGGCACTGCCCATGTGGTAGAATCAAAAATGCATTTACATTCCATTACCAGTTCCTAGTTCAGCACATCTAAAACACTTGAAGTTTCCTGAATAATGGAAGTGTATTTTATCATTCGTAGTCTCTGTAAAACTATCACAACTGAGCTTATTATGCTAATGAAGCGATTCGTCGTGTATCCCATAGCTAGACTCTGGATGGGTCCAGTCCCTGAAGGACCAAGGATTGCAACCTGCAGCTTGGGGCACAGAGGAAGTGGAAGTCAGGCTATGTCAAAGTCTTGAACACCAGGGATATATATATATATATATATATATATATATATATATGCTTGCGGTGGAGGTACTGGGAGATGAATGTGCAGAGACAGTACAGGAAGATCTGTGCCCTGTGACTACGTCATCTGGTTGCTCATTAGTATACTTTCTTGTTTCTGAGTTCTCTGAACACATCTGTCAAATTTACAAAAACCAAAGATACCTTATCTATCTATCTATCTATCTATCTATCTATCTATCTATCTATCTATCTATGGTTTTTCCAGACAAGGTTCTCTCTATGTAATTGCCTTGGCTGCTGTACTGGAACTCATTTTGCAGACCAAGATGGCCTTGAACTCACAGAAATCTGCCTGCCTCTACCTCCCAAGTGCTGGGATTAAAGGCAATGCGCCACCACCAAGCCTATCCAGACTTGATATCTTTAAGACAAGATCAGTCCTGGGTCTAAACATCATGGACACTTATACCTGTATTTAGTCCTCAGTGCTTATACTTTAGGCTATGCCTTAGGTGTAACTGTTTGTAATCAATGCAATAGGTATTGAAGAAAACATAACAATCTGGTTCTGGACATGACTATAGAGTTCAAGTGCTTGCTGGATGTCATGTGAGACTTTGGAGAAGTAACTAAATTCCCACTTGAGAGACTGCTACTATTAAAATGAAAGCTATGTAAATTCTCTTAAGAATTATATATGCAAACAATAATGGCTGTTAAGAAGTACTATCAATTTTGTCAGCAGTACTCTTGCTAATAGTATATTACTATAACAATGCTTGACTCTGTGTAAAACCTGCTTTTGTCAGGAGTCTGCAATTGCACCAATTCTGTTCTTAGGTTCATATAACACTCTGTTCTCTTATCTCTATGCTTCTGTTCCAACTGTTTTACCCACTAGAACAGTTGTCTGTACACTCCTAGGAAATTGGTCTGAAGTATCTTTAGGGTTGATGGGGCGGAACATTAATTTAAAATGGGTTACATTTGTTTATGCTGTTTAATATGTTTAACGATACAAAGACATGTTACATTTGTTTAATTAAATAAAGTTAACCTGGGGTCAAGAGGCAGAGTCAGCAACTAGCTCAGAGGACGGGTAGGGAGAAACTATGTGTAGCTAGGGTTCTTAAATGGGGGCTGAGCAGAAGGACACCTAATGTTTTGGGGAGGGTGAGAGCTAGGAGAGGTTAGCTTTTTACTATTAAATCTCTCCGAACTCGGAGCATTTCATTTCAACCATTGAATCCCTAGTTCTATAGAGGGATGGAGATCTAGATAAAGTTCCCTTTAGAAGGCGTGATAGAGCTGGTGCCTAAGGGAACAGAATTCATGCCTGGCTATGGCCAGTGCGGTTGAACTGGTAGCTGCAACTGGAGTTGCAACTTCCGATTAGGACAGCAGTTACTAAGAGGCAGCTACTGAATTTAATGAAAAACAATAGGTTGATATTGTAGATAAGTACTGGGCTGCTTACCCAGCTTTCACAAGACCCTGCATTAAACTTCTACCATATCATACAGGTTTAAAAAGTAACAATTAAATCTATTTTTACTCAAAGTCCTGCTCAAATCTTAATTATCTAAGCACCTTAGGTAAACTAACATAATATCCCACATAACCTCTGTCCTCTCCATGATCCTTGCATGTGCAGTCTATTCCACACTATCTAGCATTCACTAACTGGCTGGGCAACAGAATTCAGTCTAGTGACCTCTCTAAGCCTCAAGTATTCCACCGAGAATGAGGAGAACCACACAGTTCTTGTCTAGTTCAAAGGATAGGGGAGTATTTGGAAACAATTTTTGTAGTGACATAAAGATCTGAGGCATTTTTCTGTTTATGTGTTGACTTCAGACAACTGCAGATTTATTCTTAGTCTTAAAGTTTTCAAAATGATCTCCACCTCAATCTCTGTGGTGGTTTGAATAGGAATGGCCCCCACTGACTCATGTGTTTGAATACTTGGTGTATAGGGAGTGGTACTCTTGGGAGGTGTGGCCTCTTTGTAATAGGTGTGATTTTATTAGAGGAAATGTGTCACTAGGGGGTTGGGATTTGAGGTCTCAGAAGCTCAAGCAAGTTTACTTCCTGGTGCCTGTGGAGCTAGATGTAGAACTCTCAGCTACTTCTCCAGTACCATATCTGCTTACACGCCACCATACTTCTCATTATAATGACAATAGACTGAACCTCTGAACTGTAAGCCAGCCCCAATTATCTTTTCCTTTATGAGAGTTGTCATGGTCATTGTATCTCTTCAAAGCAATGAAACCATAGCTAAGATAGAAATTGGTATCAGGGATTGGGGAATGGCTGTGATAGGTCTGACCATATTGTTGTTTGAAAGGATGTGGATTTGGGGACTTTGGATCAGAAAGGTAGTTTAACACTTTAAATGGTGCTTAATGGGCCATCCGCATCAGAAACATGGAAGACAGTGGTGTTGAGGGCAATCTGAACTGTGGCGGCCTGGCTCAAGCGGTTTCAGAGAAGAATTTTTGCATGTGAGCTAGAGTTTATTGTGATATTTCCAAAGATCTGCCTGAGGCTAAAGGGAAGAGTTTTGGATTAATTCCATTAGCAGAGGAAACATCAGCACAGCCTGGCATTGACACTGTCTGTGGTTATTAATCTTCTCTCTTATACAGGTTTATAATGAAAAGGAGCAGGCCATGCAAGGAAAAACACAAAATGTACAATTTGAGGAGAAAGGGGGCACTAGGAAGTGGAATAGGGCAAAGGCCAGTGTTCAAGGAGATAAACAGATTAACAAAATAGTGACGTTAAATGGAATAAAGGATCTCAGGGCAAGATCCCACCCAACGAAGCTTCCAAATTGTGAAAAGGAAATTAAGAAAACTTTAAGGATTTCCCCACCATACCCCGTTTCTCTGTCTTCATAGACATAAAAGCTTGTTTGTACATACCTTCTCTTAGGTCTCGATCTATCTTGGGTGGTGGCTTTTTCCCCATTGACAATCCATGAACTTCTGCTCCCTCCACGTTCACTCCTGAAGGGACCCTGTCCATTCAAAAGAGTTGAGACTGAAATTTCCCATTAAATAAAGATGTTCAGAGGTAAGGAATACTGCAACTACACAAGCTTTGATTCGGAGTTGTAGACCATTCATCTAGCTTTCTAAATCACATCATATGCCCGTGTCTTTGTGCGGCTCTCTCAGCTTCCTCAGGATGCCATTTCTCTCTACAGTCTCAGTTTGCAACTTTTATCAAAATTAATTGCAGCTATAATTTCACTCCCTTCTTATAGGTCTATTGTCCCAAAGAACAGGAAAAAGTGTCTGTGTGCACCTTCATAATTCTGCATGTTGTACTGTGTCTTGAACATGGACTGCATCACTGAATAATGCTCGAATGGAGACAAATCCTGTCCTAATGTAAGAGTTGGTTCTTGACTATTCTGAGGAGAAAGACACAGTTTGTGTAAAGCTTCCCAGATACATAAGTGAGAGTAGATAGCCTTTTAATTGACACAGACTGGGTACGTTCAAACAGTCCTGCATGTCCTAGATTCTCTCCCAGTAATCTTATGTCATTAAGCGCTGACTGATTTCAAGATTCCAAGACTGAAATCTTCCAGGTTATTGTGCCAAAGTCATAAACAAGTCCCTTCCTTCCGTTGACATGGTCTGTCTCATTTAAGAATAGGTCAGTTGGATTGTGTGATCACAAACAGGTAAGGCACACTTGCAACGAGCTTGGGTTATTTTAAAACATGTGGGTTGATTACAATTGTACTAAAAGTGAGTTCTCTTAGTTTCGATTTGTTCAGTAATAATATTCAGTTCACTATGCAGAAAATTTTCTGGCTTTGATTTCAAATGAATATCATAAGGGAATTTATCATCAGAAAGGAAATTTTGATTATGATCAAAATGCATTGTATGCAATTCTCAAAGGATGAAAAGCATTTTGAAAAGCAAATTTCGTAAAACTTGTTAGTGGAAATAGCATCCAACTTTGTGTAATAAGTAATCACAGGTAGTTAGCATTTGGAGCCTTCTGGGCTAACTCTTTAATTTAAGGAAAAGTGTTCACACTCAAGGAGAAAAATCATTACTCAAAACCATACAGAAGCGAGTGGGAGCGCTGGGACCAGGACACAGTTCCTAATGCGCAGCTCAAAGGCTGTAATTACATTCCATTCACTTATCCGCTGGAGCTATGTTCCTTGTGCCATCTCCTCCCCCTGAGCACTTTGTATCACTGTAGTTTGCCTCCCAAATGGAGAACTCACCGATTCTCATCCTGCCGTCCTCCATAACTGATCCAGTAATTCTGTTTACAGTTGAGAAAGAGGTATAAATTTATTAATAAAACACAATTTAGAGGAATAAAAAAATAAAATACTTTTAATGAAGTATTAAGAAGGCCTGAAATATTCAGGAACTTTCACTGTGTATCAATGAAGAGAAGGTTGGTGCGATTTTTGGCAAGGGCACTACAGGTAACAAATGAATTTTAAAAATGCGCAGAATTAGTTAGGGCCTTGGCTCTTTTGCTCTTGATAGTGACTTGAAATTTGGTAACAGAAAGGGCTTCAGAGATCCTCCAGTAAAAGTGCTCTGTGGATCATGAGTCAAATTTAAACAAAGAAACCAAGGTGGTTTATCTGTATAGATTCATAATGTAGGTGTCATATTCTGGTGCCTCTTGGGAAAACACAATTCTTCAAAACATTGTGTAGGAACAAACATATTGTTAAGTGTTATGCCAGAAATATTTCCTTAAAATAACCTAATTTATAAAATGTGCCAAGGACAATAAGCCATAATTAATAACAAATTTAAAATATGCTGCAATTAGCGATTTCCTCAACGTATTAACATAGGTATTGTGTGAAAATATTCAATCATCAATAGATAGATAGAAACCTATAGCTATATAATTCAATGAAGAAAAGAGGAAAATACTGTAAAGTGGCCATCAGAAGAACAGAAGTTAGAATACCAATGATATAGCAATTGGCACTGAATATATATGAGTCGTAGAGGAACTTTTCTTCCTGTAAGTGTGGTGGATTGGCACTTTCATAGATCCCTAGAAACAATGAAGGTATCAGAAACAGTTTCTGAGGAGGGCAGTTAAGTTTCAAGAACTTTCAAGCCTCGTGTTTTCATGCAAGGTGAGCCCACTCTTGGAATTTATTTGAAGGTTCAACAAAAATGATCACTGTACTATGAATGTTTGAAAGAACTCAGAAATAATTCAAGCACCAAAGGAGTTAATCATATATTAATTCTAGGTATGTAGCGAAAATATTTTAAGGGCTTATCAAAATGAAGACCACAGGTATCTTGTTAAATAAAAACAATAGAATGCATTTATTTACAGCACTGATAATGTTTGTAAAGGGTGTGTCTTCCCAGGACAATGGGGCAGTGTGAGAAGCAGAGGAAACAGCCTGAAGGCTGACTCAGCTTGTGCCTTCCGAAGGTGTCTTATGTTGTTTAAAGAACAATAGTCATTAACGTATTAAAATTTTACATCTAAAGGTTAGAAAATAAAACAATACTGAGGCAAATGAATCACAGACAAAACATTTGCTTCTGACTTTGGACTATAGCATTATGGGAACCTATCAAAATCTTTTCAAGTTCACCACATTAATAACATAAAGCTATCTCCTAATCAGTTATTAATTTAAATAGTTTATTAGACTCTCCAACTAATGTGGAAGGGGCTCTAATGCTTAAATATCTATCCACCAAGAAGGTTTTTTTGTTTAGTTCTATTTATTTATTTATTAAAGATTTCTGTCTCTTCCCCGCCACCGCCTCCCATTTCCCTCCCCCTCCCCCAATCAAGTCCTCCTCCCTAGCACTTCATTTTCCTTCTTTGTTCTTACCGGTTCAGAATATAAAAATCCCAGACCCTCTGCAGCCGACTTTATCAGTTCAGATTCAAGGTTGTAACGTTTGATAAATGCTGCCAAATCCTAGGAGAGAAGACGAGGTTAGATCTAAATAAGGGATGTGAGGTTAGATCTAAGGGATGTGATAGATGCTCAAGTGAAACTTTACATTATAACAGCCAATGAGCTAACATGAAGATCAGAGCTGCAAAAGCACCCTCCTTGGCAACAGGTTTTCACAAGCTAGCTCCTATGAGAAATGTGCTTCTGGCATGGTTAACATTGGAAAAAATTAAGATCTGGAACAACCATTAAGTCTCTATGTATTTTATTGTTGATGATGATGATGATGTCTGTGTCTTGGTTCTTTTTTTTTATTCATTTATTAAAGATTTCTGTCTCTTCCCCACCACCGCCTCCCATTTCCCTCCCCCTCCTCCAATCAAGTCCCCCTCCCTCGTCAGNAGAGAGAGAGAGAGAGAGAGAGAGAGAGAGAGAGAGAGAGAGAAGAAAGTAGGAGGGGTCCTATTGACAAGAAGGGCTTCAGTTAGAAAAGGAAGTTGGGTGCTGGGGTTGGGGTCTGAAAATGACTAAAATTCATTGTATAAATTAATGGAACTGTCAAAAATAAAATGAAAAATAGAATATTAAAACCAAGATCCAAGAATAGAATTGTACCCGCCTCCTCCGCCCAACAAGTAGCATCTGATATTTGTGTGCTAACTGTGACATTCATCTTATACATTGTGCTTTATATATACAGGGGCCTCCTCAAGCCTTCCCCATGCCAGCCCCTAAAACACAGTCACAGCAAAGTGGCCCACTGTACCTACCTGTATGCTTGCCTGTACTTCTGTGGCCAACTGACCCAACTGATTGAGTCCATACCCTGAGGCATTAAGCTAAGGTCACATAAGGTCCCTCCAGGAACCTCTACTTTCTCTACAATCCCCATAACCCTAGGGCCTCTAGATTTCCATTTCACTGACTAGAGATGTAAACAAAGAAAGACCTATGGTTTTGTTGGCTGGTACTTGGGCACCTGAGATGGGGGAATTACAGAATCAATGCCTGCTAGCCTAGGAGAGTTCAAGACTAGCCTGGGAACTTATACTAAAATTCCATGACAAAAAATATAAAAGGATGGATAAAGTTATTGCACAGCAACACAGTGTTTGCCTACCATGCATGATACTGTAAGTTCAATCCTCAGTATTACACACACAAAAAAGAGGATGGGTGCATTTTATGTTATAATTGCTAAAGAAGCATTGGTAATTGATACTACTACCAATTGATAAGCAAATCACTACTAAGAATGATTTACAACCTCACTTTACTACGAAAGGTATTAAAATTTTGTCTATAAGTTATTTGAGATACTGGTTACTTGTCCTTGTAATCAATTTAATTCTATACGTATTCTATGTAGACAATGGTTTCCACCTTCTCTTGTCTTTTGTTCTGTACGAAAGCTGTCGACCTCTCTTGTATTATATAAACACACTCTGAAAGTTTCTCCTGACAGTTGTTTTTTTACACTTATATTGTTAATACAAACTCTTTATCTTCAAATAGGGTATATCCAGAGAACTCACTTCTTCCGATAAAAGGCTTGACTATCACACATTGCCTATTCTTTTAAACTACATACCAAGTATAATCTGCCAATGAACTGTACAAGACTGTATCAAAGGGGTCATTGCTATATTACTTACAATACTGAAAAACTGCAACCATCTCAGAAGTCCTCAGTAAAGACTAATATTTAAAATGATGATGATCCTATATCATGGGTGTTATCTAGCCACTACAAACAGCAAAGTGAGTCCACATGTACTTACATGAGAAGTCCACATTTTGTTGCTAGGCATAAAATAAAATAAAAAATATGTTGAAAAGAAATACTCATAGTACTTCCTATTTTTACATTGATGAAATAAATAAATACAAATTATGAACAAATACATCAGAAGAAATTGGGAAAAAATCTTAAAACTTTAACTATTAGCAGCCAAGGACAGGATGGAATAGATACACGAGAATCATTAACATGTTACAATCTTTACTATTAAGCACTATATTGTCAGAATACTGTTTACACAATATCCATAGCATTTTAGAGTAAGCAAACAAAGAACAAAAACAAGCTTTACCTGCAATTGCCTCATAAAGACCGCCTTTATACCTTAAATACTCATACTCCTCAAATCTCTGAGGCCCCTCACATAGAGTTCGGCACTCCATATCTTCATTGTAATATTCTCTTAAAGCTTGTTCAAAGTACTTGATGGCAGCTTCAAAGTCATCGGCCTCATAGTGTTTAACTCCTGCATTATAGCTCTCCTGCAAGGACACAGACACGGTCTTGTTTGTCAAGAGTGGGATGAACACAGACTCGGGATCATTTAGGAAGGTCAGAGCAGAATTTTGTGCTGCAAAAAGTAATGACAGGATTGATCTGTCTTTTGTGACTTCCACAGGTTCAAGTAAATGTCAAAGAAAGGGAACCTGTTGCATAACTGAATTATGGCAATGTCAATCAATTTACTTTCTTTCTGCAAATACATGTGGGGACAGTCTATAATCTCTCTGTTGCAGGGAAGGCATGTGGGATAGCAAACATGGTTAGAATGGTGCCATCACTTCCAAGCCTTGGTGCATCAAATCTTCCTTCTGAAATATTTCTCTATCATTCTTCTTGGCAGTAATTTGGAAGGTCACATTGAGAAAGGTGAGGTCGGAAAAAAAAAACTGAGGCAGAAAGGCCTTTCCATGGGTGATTTCAAATGATATTTTATTGTAAAAAGAATACTGTGGGTTTTTCAAATTCCAGTTTGTATACTTCCGGTACAAAGGGAAATCCTCCACGTTGGAAAGCAAGAAATAAACACTGTAGCCATGAATAACTCACACTAGCTTCACTTCTAGGTGAAAAATAAGTGTGTTAAATTATCAAGAATGGCTGGTGGCATCTATAGTCCTAGATACTAAAATGACTGAGGCAGGAGGATTACTTGAACCAGCCACAGTAACACAGCAAGACATGGTATCTACTAACAGACATCTAGAGAACCGTTCATTTAAGTACTTCATTCCTTTCAGCAATCCAGGGACCATTTTCCAAAATAGAACTTATATTAGGATACAAACAAAAGCCTCAACAAAGGCAGGAAAATTGAAATAAGATTCTGTATTCTATATGACCACATAGAATAATGTTAGATATCAACAGCAAGGAAAACTAGCCAAGTCTCAGAAACTCATTGAGATTGAACAATACACCATTTGACAACATGGAGGTTATTATATCATACCTCCTTCTTGCCAAGCTCAAGAAACACCAAGTAATAGGGGGGCAGAAAGAATGCAAGAAACAGAAATCATGAAGGACTGGGAAGAAGTAGTGTCTTGTAGGCATGATAAGCCCAATGCACTCATGAAATTACAGTATTGGTGACTGATTGCACAAGACGGGAACAAGATCAAGTCACTGAACATTCTACCATGAATTGGGGAGGGACACTTGTTCCCCCACCACTAGCTAAGGAGTCATTAAGAGTTGATGACTTCAGCATTGTTTGTAATAGCCAGAACCTGGAAACAACCTAGATGCCCTTCAATTGAAGAATGGATGAAGAAAGTATGGAATATATACATATTAGAGTACTACTCAGCAGTAAAAAACAAGGACTTCTTGAAGTTTGCAGGCAAATGTGTCTTGGTTCTTCATCAGTTCTCCCTGGAACACACTTCAGTGTAGAGATTTCTCTCTGCACTCTGCTCTCACCTCTCGGGCCTCAATGGACGCTGGGTCAATGCTATTGTCCAGCAGGCTCTCATAGTAGTCTACATTGTCCAGGACGTCCTCGTCGTCTGGATGGAACATCAGGTAGGCTTTGGAACACTCCAAGGCTTTCACATATTCACCCACTGGAAATACAAGGCGTTGTTAGGCCACATTTGTGTTAGTTAGCTCTGCCCAGAGGATTTCAGGGGAAGACGTCTGTGTGTCTAGTGATGTTAGCACTGATCATCGTTTATGGGAGACAAACCGAGGCTGAGCCAGAAGGTCAGAAGCATTTACACAGGAGGACAGACATGATTTCAGGTCCTCAAATGGGAAAACTTTTGTTTGCTTTGGTGCTGGGCACGCTGCAGAAATGCTGCAAAGTCTCATCTGAAAATGTTTCTTGGTGATTGCTGTAAGACCACAGCAAAACCATATGAATTAACTGTGACTTCTTTTGTGCTGTTTGACCTAAGTAAATACTCCGAGCATGACCTTCTAATATGATGGTGAAGCCTTCATGAATAAAATATGAGTGTAGAGTGATTTCAAAGTGTTATTTCTTATTACTGGGAAGTGTGTTGTATACTTTTGCTTCTATGGCGTAACCTTGAGTGCATCCCCAGAGGTGCAGATGGTCCCTTCTAGCCCCTTCCCACATAGTGGGAGCAACCTGAGTGGTATCCAGCTGTTACAAGGAGTAGCCCAGGATGTTTCAAATGTGACTTCTTTGTTCTAGAAAAATTTAGCTATTGCAAAAAATAATGTTTCACTTTTAGGAACAGGATGCTGAAATGTTTTGTGCTATCTTTGCAAATAGTTCTCACAATTATATTTCTTTTTAAAAAGCTTCTTCTCTCTTTGTAAGTACACATATATGTACGCACACACATGTATATACATATACATATATATATGTATATATATACACACATACATTCTCTGTGTGTACATAAATTCTCAGAGATGGCTCCAAGTATAAGAGAGGGGATTCAATATTTTCTCTTCAATAAAAAAGGAAACTAAAGCTATTTTGAATTACTAAATTTGCCTAGGGGATTGTGGAATATCTAAACATTTTATAATATATTCTGATGATGAACTCTGGAAAATACAACCCATATGAAGGACAATTTGGCAATGTGAATCAAAATTACAAATGAATAAACTATTTGACCCAGTAGATGAACTCTCAGATTTTTATCCTTCAAAATATTGTATAAATGTGCACAGCCACGTGTAGAGTGTTATCCACTTGAAAGTTCACTGCGGTCACAAAAGATTACTAAACAACACAACTGTCCCTCAGTAGGAAGACACATGAAATAAGATCTAATTCAATTGTATGCAGGCATTTAAAAAAGAGAGATCAGAAAGATCTCTCTGCACTCATCTATTAAAGTTGAATAATAAATTGCTAGAATTTAATTTTGGCCTAAACTATGCTAATTTCCTATACTTAACCTACTAAACGTCAATTGACATGTAGTAAATAAAAAAGATCAAGAAAATATTATAAATAAAATGCTGTCTTCATGGTAAAAGAAGGAAAATTCTATATGCGGATTTGCATATTATATATATACATATATATATAATTTTGGAAGTATAAAACACTCAGTTGAAGGACATGAAAGTGGACTATGGATAGAGTAAGAGGGGAATTATTTAAAACACTGGTTCATTCAACCATGGGAATGCAATCCTATTAAAAGTGAGTTGAAGAAGCAGCTCAAGTTGAAAAAGAAATCTTGCAAGTCTAGTGTTCGTTTTAGGACATTATCACAGTAAATCCTGTGCTTCGTCCACTGCCAGTGCCCTGGCTTTCTTGCTCTGAGCTGCAGCCAAAAGGCAAGGAGAAGAATGGGCATAAACCTGCATTGCTTTGGCAGTGAAATGAAAGAAAGCAGGGGTCTGCATGCTGAAGATGCCAACAGGGATAAAGAAGAACCCTAAAGGTCTTCGTGGATGGTCCATACTTTACCTCTGTAGTAGGCAAACTGTAGGTAGTCATAATGCAAGGGAAGAAAGTTCTCGATCGGTGAGAGGCGGCCTGGGCGGGTGGCGAGTTCCCTCACACACTCATGCTGACAGACCAGCACCTGCATGTAGTGATCTGGAAGGCAAGAGAGAAAGTGTGTGTCCTCCAGGTGCTGAGGCCACACCTTAGGCAGGGCAGTACTTCTGCAGGACATGCATTGACACAGAACACTCGGGGGGCGGGGAGCTCTGTATTATCATTTCCTAGCCTGAAAACTTCAAATAGTGGCTGGCAACATCATCTTAGCCGTGATCACTGGACAGTGCTGGGTCCCGAACCTCTGTAATACATCAGGCTTCCTGGGCATGAAGCTGAATGTAGACTTTCTCACCAGACATACTGAGCTTCTTTTAGTTTACTGCAGAGGGTCTGAGATGCCCTCGAACTGAGACAAGTCATTCACATCCTAGTGATGTTAAGCCATTCAGATAATAGAACAGCCATCCACACAGAAAGTTAGCAGGGGAAATGGAGGACTTAAACTCCCCTTCCCTGTCAATTTATTTTAAAAAAGAAATTCAAATGCTATTTCTTGATGCCTATTGCTCAGGACCAGAATCTATCCACTTATAGAACTGGCTCTCACTAGACACTACACATCCTAACACATGGGATACTGTTTTCACAGAGAGTGGCAAAATGGCAGAAAGGATGACAGCTAAAAAAATTAGAATAAGCACAGTCCTCCTTTCGCCCTCTTTGTTGGCTGCTCTTCTTATTTATAATAGGTAAGATGCTGAAGTACAGGGGATTCCATGTCCCTTAGCTCTACAGACTGCTTTACCAAAGCATGAGCTGAAGAAACACAAGCAGCTAATATCACAAGGAAAACTTCCCTCCCTCTCTGCCTAACTTTGAATTCTATAGCAAAGATGGGGCAATGTTTTCCAGGGAGAGAATGGTTCATTCATACTTGGGCTGAGTAGGCAGGCTCCCTGGCGGTGGAGAAAATAATTTGACTTCATGGCTGCACAATTTAATTGGGCACAACAGCTTCTCTCAAAAGGGTCTCTGTTGAGTCAGAGTTCATCTTGGATCTGGGCAATTTTACAGAACGAGGTCAGGACACAGGAAGAAAAGGAGTATTTGGAGGGTGGGGCAAACTTTTTTCCATAACCTGGCTAACTTGAGCCCATGTAGAACAGCTAACAAAATCAAAACCACAGTCCACTGCTTTCTACCTCCAGTTGGAAATGTAGAGAAAATAATGAGGTCTACATGTACAATCTGAAGTTAGGAACAAAATACTAGTGGAGTTTCATATCTTAGGGAGGACAGTAAATAACCAACTGTTCAATCCTCCATAGCCCGATGTCCTCTTTACCTTCAAACCCATCTTTCCTCTAATTCAGTGGCTCTCAACCTTCCTAATATTGTGACCCTTCAGTTTCTCATGTTATGGTGACCCCTCAACCACAAAATTATTTTCATAATTGTAATTTTCTACTGTTATAAATTGTAATGTAAATATCTGATATGCAGAATAAGTGATATGGGGCTCCTGTGGGAAAGGGTATTTCAAACTTCAAAGGGGCTGTCACTCGCAGATTGAGAACCACTGCTCTAATATCAAGTGACAAGGGTAGAAAAAATGAAAAAGATGTAACAACAAACAATTTAAAATCTGAAGGAATATATTTTGAAGCAGAGTACAGTATGAACAGCAAATTAGAACAACAAAGATAGTCTTCTGGTTTCACAAACAGAGCTGACCACATGAAAATTTGCATCAAGCAGCCATTTGTGTTTTCCTCCAACATTTAGTCTCTTCTAACTCTACAATTCAAGTCATGTGGGATTTCCTTCTATATGCTGTGAGTACCATAAATAAAGAGCTGCTTTGAACCTATAGCAGAGCAGGGCAGGGCAGAGCAGAGCTAGGTGAGGGGGAATGGACTGAATGCTGGGAGAAAGAAGGGCAGAGTCAGAGAGATGCCATGGAACTGCAGCCAGACATGCTGAAACTTTGCCGGTAAGCCACTGCCACGTGGCGATACATAGATTAATAGAAATGGGTTAAATTAATATGAGTTAGTCAGTAAGAAGCTAGAGCTAATGGGCTAAGCAGTGATTTAATTCATATAGTTTCTGTGTGGTTATTTCGGGGCTAAGCAGCCGGGAACCAACAAGCAGCTCCTCACTACATTCAAGTGTTAAGGTTTTTCTAATACATTTTCCTTTGTGAATGCCAGTTCAACTATGAATTGAGGACACCCAGCAATGCAAGAATTTGCAGGGTAGAAATCAACATGGTAATTATATTTGTTGTTTTCTTTCCCTTTCAGTGTCATTGTGCAATCAATGTGCTTTTTAATAAGACTGAGGCTCAGAAGAACTGTGTGAGAATACATTTAGTTGTTTTTCTTTTGCTACATAAAGTGAGAATGTTTCAGATTTCCAGGAAATCTTACCATAGTTCTATAATTGCAGGTCTTGGTCTGTCTCTAGAGAGACTATGACTAATACTCAACAGTGTTTGGCTGGGAGCTGGGATGCTGGTTGTGGTACTTAAGAGTCAAGGAAACTGAGTGTGGAGATATCTGTCCTTCCCAATAGTCAATGTGTTATGGTAACTTGACTAGCACTAAATACGAACCTACAGAGATATCAGTTGTCATAACACAATCTAGACCATTTGCCAAATCTGTTCCATGGACACTGACAGCACAGGTACACAGACAAATGTGGGGCTGAAGGTAGTGTGCATCATCTCATAAAACCACAGCATAGCAAACTATTAAATAGAGTTTATTTGTATTTACATATGTAAACATATTTATATGTTACTATAAATAATAAAGAAAATGCTAGCTCATTCTTCCTGTAAAACACCGTGTTAAGGAAAAATTCAGTAATTATACTATAAAAGACACGCAAAATTTATTTGTAAATGTTCACAAAATACAGGAAAGTTAAATTCGCAGATGCCCAAGGAAAGAAAAGTTTTAGAAATAAATCCTCAAAGTAACTCACACAAGTATGCTGATTTTGGATAACTTAAATTTGCTTTGGGTAATAGAGCACTTCGTAGCTTGATAATTTGGTGTAGTGACTTTGACTGTAATAGATATATTGATTCTAGTTTACACTTTGTAGCTATTCTCTAATTAGCTTCTAAAAACGCCACCCTTCATTTATGACCAACATTATCACAAGCACAAGGCATTGTTATCACATTTATCTATACATAGTTACTGGTGCATAGACCATATTCTTTATTTTTGCATTCATCAACACATTCATTTAGTCAATATTTATTAAGTAGCATAGGGATCTGCCAATCCCTGAGGAATGAGGACTGAATAAGATAGGACACTGGCTATGTGATATGGAAAACCTGATTTGCAAAGGGAACAGAGAGTGAAGTGGACCATCCAAAGACTTCAAAGAACATGAGAAGGCAGCAATGGAGAACACGAATATACCTAAGGCAAGTCCTTCAAGGTTATTGGTCTTTATTCCAAGTGGGATGAAAGCCATAAAGGGAGGAAGTTTATATACAGTAGAGTTAGTACAGAATTTGGGCTCTGTATTACACACCAAGAACAGGAAGAAAGTCACCATGGGGGCTTGGTTAAAATGCAGCTTTGATTTAAGCAAAATTCCCATGTCAAACGGGTTGACTCAGTAAGTGTTAAGTGCCATGAAAAAAAGTTTGGTAGCAAAATAAGATGGACTTAAGAGTTGAGGAAGATGTCAGATGGAAACGCTACTTCACATAATTTGGTTTGAGCTACTAAGTAAGTGCTTTTGAGGGAGATATGGAGATGTTAGAATTGGGAAGGTAAACTGACTTTAGTAACTTCCATTTCATTTGAACATCATTTCTTCATTATGTATGTCTTGGAACATGTCATCAACAAAGATGTGATAAAGATTTGTTATTGTATCCGTTACTCTTTACTTGGTTTTTGATTATGTTGACTTTAAAAGTATGAACTCTTGATGAAAATTATGCATTTGATTCTTAGTTTGTTTCTAGCCATCTCACTCAACTGTACTAATTAACAAATTCCTCACTTAAAGGGAACAGCATTTCTTCAGTGAGGTGTCTGAGCAGCAGACAGAGATGCAGATCAGTGTGAGAAATCTCCCCCAAAAGTTCAGCACCATTGAGGCTCCTGTGATACCATCAAGAAAAATAAAAGCAGCCCTCAGCTGGGGAGACCACGGGTCCAGGTAAGGAACCTGCTATTATCAAACCTACTACATTGTGCTAAACATTTGTTTTGTCAAACTGCCCTCTAAATACTGCTTATATTCATTGGTTAGTGCTGCTGCCAATTCTCTTCATAGAAGCTTCTAATTCCACTGGGGTGGTTAATGAAGAAACCCATGAGGGGATAAACTGCAGACAATACGTAGTGCTGGCGTATTCCTCTGTATATGATAGAGTCATATCACTATCACACCTCCAAAGCTCAGGAAACGTCCCGGAGGACATGAGGTCAGAAAGAATATACAAAACAGGATGGGGAGATGAAGAGTAGAAGGATGTTTTCGGAACATGACATAGCAGGAGTAATTGTGAAATCACTGTAACTGTGTCTACTTGCACAAGACATGCCCAGCACTGAGTTCATCAAGTTTGGAGGGACCTATCAGGATTCTGGCAGTTAGTGGTTGTTGGGGGAAGTGGTGTCATCTTAATGTACCTAAAAGGACATCTCTCCTTATCAAGTAAGTAATATCCCACCCATGTCCCAGCAAGAAACTCTAATAAAACTTACTGGACCATGAGAGAGAGAGAGAGAGAGAGAGAGAGAGAGAGAGAGAGAGAGGGAGGGAGGGAG